TATCACAACTACCCCATGTGCAGAACAATGTCAACTACTATCACAACTACCCCATGTGCAGAACAATGTCAACCACTATAACAACTACCCCATGTGCAGAACAATGTCAACTACTTTAACAACTACCCCATGTGCAGAACAATGTCAACTACTTTAACAACAACCCCTTGTGCAGAACAATGTCAACTACTATAACAACTACCTCATGTGCAGAACAATGTCAACTACTTTAACAACTACCCCATGTGCAGAACAATGTCAACTACTTTAACAACAACCCCTTGTGCAGAACAATGTCAACCACTATAACAACTACCCCATGTGCAGAACAATGTCAGCTACTATAACAACTACCCCATGTGCAGAACAATGTCAACTACTTTAACAACAACCCCATGTGCAGAACAATGTCAACTACTATAACAACTACCTCATGTGCAGAACAATGTCAACTACTTTAACAACTACCTCATGTGCAGAACGATGTCAATCACTATAACAAGTACCCCATGTGCAGAACAATGTCAATCACTATAACAAGTACCCCATGTGCAGAACAATGTCAACTACTATAACAACTACCCCATGTGCAGAACAATGTCAACTACCCTCACAACTACCGCATGTGCAGAACAATGTCAACTACTTTAACAACTACCCCATGTGCAGAACAATGTCAACCACTATAACAACTACCCCATGTGCAGAACAATGTCAACCACTATAACAATTACCCCATGTGCAGAACAATGTCAACCACAATAACAACTACCCCATGTGCAGAACAATGTCAACCACTATCACAACTACCTCATGTGCAGAACAATGTCAACTACTATAACAACTACCCCATGTGCAGAACAATGTCAACTACTATAACAACTACCCCATGTGCAGAACAATGTCAACCACTATCACAACTACCCCATGTGCAGAAAAATGTCAACTACTATAACAACTACCCCATGTGCAGTACAGCTTCAACCACTATTACATATATCCCATACACAGTACAACTTCAACCACCATTACATATATCCAAAATACAGTGTATTTTCAAACACTTTTACAAATATCCAAAATACAGTACAGCTTCAACCACTAATACAACAGTCCAATAAACAGTACAGCTTCAACCACTAGTATAACTGTCCCATACACAGTACAGTTTCAACCACTAGTACAACTGTCCCATACACAGTACAGCTTCAACCACTATTACAACTCTCCCATACACAGTACAGCTTCAACCACTATTACAACTCTCCCATACACAGTACAGCTTCAACCACTAGTACAACTGTCCCATACACAGTACAGCTTCAACCACTATTACAACTGTCCCATACACAGTACAGCTTCAACCACTATTACAACAGTCCCATACACAGCACAGCTTTAACCACTTTTACAACAGTCCCATAAACAGTACAGCTTCAACTACTATGACAACTGTCCCATACACAGTACAGCTTTCACCACAATTACAACAGTCCCATACACAGTACAGCTTTAACCACTATTACAACTGCCCCATACACAGTACAGCTTCAACCACTATAACAACTATCCCATACACAGTACAGCTTCAACCACTAGTACAACTGTCCCATACACAGTACAGCTTCAACCACTATTACAACTGTCCCATACACAGTACAGCTTCAACCACTATTACAACAGTCCCATACACAGCACAGCTTTAACCACTTTAACAACAGTCCCATACACAGTACAGCTTTAACCACTATTACAACTCTCCCATATACAGTACAGCTTCAACCACTAGTACAACTGTCCCATACACAGTACAGCTTCAACCACTATTACAACTGTCCCATACACAGTACAGCTTCAACCACTATTACAACAGTCCCATACACAGCACAGCTTTAACCACTTTTACAACAGTCCCATAAACAGTACAGCTTCCACCACTATTACAGCTGTCCCATACACAGTACAGTTTCAATCAATATTACAACTGTCCCATACTAAGTACAGCTTCAACTACTATGACAACTGTCGCATACACAGTACAGCTTCCACCACTAGTACAACTGTCCCATACACAGTACAGCTTCAACCACTATTACAACTGCCCCATACACAGTACAGCTTTCACCACAATTACAACAGTCCCATACACAGTACAGCTTCCACCACTATTACAACTGCCCCATACACAGTACAGCTTTCACCACAATTACAACTGTCCCATACACAGTACAGCTTTAACCACTATTACAACAGTCCCATACACAGTACAGCTTCAACCACTATTACAACTGTCACATACACAGTACAGCTTCAACTACTATGACAACTGTCCCATACACAGTAAAGCTTACACCACAATTACAACAGTCCCATACACAGTACAGCTTAAACCACTAGTACAACTGTCCCATACACAGTACAGCTTCCACCACTATTACAACTGCCCCATACACAGTACAGCTTTCACCACAATTACAACAGTCCCATACACAGTACAGCTTCCACCACTATTACAACTGCCCCATACACAGTACAGCTTTCACCACAATTACAACTGTCCCATACACAGTACAGCTCCAACCACTATTACAATTGTCCCATACACAGTACAGCTTCAACCACTATTACCACTGCCCCATACACAGTACAGCTTCCACAATCACTGTTCCTCAACCGTTAACTGTTTGACATCTCCGCCCACTATATCCTGTTGGACACGAGCAGGCACCATTATCTGCTGAACCAGTAGGATCACACGTCCCTCCGTTCTCACAGGCGTGTTTGTCTGTACAATATAATCCTATACACAATACAGCTTCAACTACTATTACAACTATCCCATACACAGTACAGCTTCAACCACTATCACAACTGTCCCATACACAGTACAGCTTCAACCACTATCACAACTGTCCAATACACAGTAAAGCTTCAACCACTATCACAACTGTCCCATACACAGTACAGCTTCAACCACTATCACAACTGTCCCATACACAGTAAAGCTTCCACCACTATTACAAATGTCCCATACACAGTACAGCTTCAACCACTATCACAACTGTCCCATACACAGTACAGCTTCAACCACTATCACAGCTGTCCCATACACAGTAAAGCTTCCACCACTATCACAACTGTCCCATACACAGTAAAGCTTCCACCACTATTACAACTGTCCCATACACAGTACAGCTTCAACCACTATTACAACTGTCCAATACACAGTACAGCTTCAACCACTATCACAACTGTCCCATACACAGTAAAGCTTCCACCACTATCACAACTGTCCCATACACAGTAAAGCTTCCACCACTATTACAACTGTCCCATACACAGTACAGCTTCAACCACTATCACAACTGTCCCATACACAGTACAGCTTCAACCACTATCACAACTGTCCCATACACAGTACAGCTTCAACCACTATCACAACTGTCCCATACACAGTAAAGCTTCAACCACTATCACAACTGTCCCATACACAGTAAAGCTTCAACCACTATCACAACTGTCCCATACACAGTAAAGCTTCCACCACTATCACAACTGTCCCATACACAGTAAAGCTTCCACCACTATTACAACTGTCCCATACACAGTAAAGCTTCCACAACTATCACAACTGTCCCATACACAGTAAAGCTTCAACCACTATCACAACTGTCCCATACACAGTAAAGCTTCAAGCACTATTACAACTGTCCCATACACAGTAAAGCTTCAACCACTATTACAACTACCCCATACACAGTAAAGCTTCAAGCACTATTACAACTGTCCCATACACAGTAAAGCTTCAACCACTATCACAACTACCCTCACATTTACCAGTCCTAGGCCCTACTACTTATTCATACCGCGACATATTTGACCCAGTGTAATGCCTTTTAGATTGTAAACCTAAACTGTGTGTTTAACATGATTTATTTAGGAGATAAACATACTGTGTTTTCAAAGTAGAGCTAGGCTTGATTTATCTGCGCGAAATTGATTTTGGAACCAAACGAGCAGCGTACAAATGGTGCACACCAAACGTAATCAAATACAACAGTGTTGAAAGCAGAACATCCACATAATGTCATGCTATATACACATACATATTTAAGTGTGTGAATAATCCGTGGCTTAAGTGATGGGGTAGAAGACACATTATATATCTCACCCCAAAGGAAACCAAATACAACACTGTTGAGAGCAAGCGTGTCCCAAATGGACTGGTCCAGCGCGCAAAACAACCGTGCAGCATTCTTTAGCGTAGCAGCTGTTTAACCTTCGAAGCACGACTTGTGCTATATTAGGGTATTAAAATATAAAGCATAAAACCCGAACTCTTTTGTGCTAGCAAATATATTAAGTGAAGCGGCAGAGGTTGAGTCCAGTGTTTTGAGTGGGTTGTCGATGTGAATTAGAAGTTACGTTTGTTGCAAGATTTCGTTCGCTCACGCTGTCTGGTACACCTCTCGTCCGATGGGGAGAAGTGCATTGAGCGGTTTTATGAAAGTGTCCCGTGAAGATCCGGGGTAGCATAGGTCTTCAGCAAACCATGCTTGCCGTAAAAGGCGACTAAGCTTGTCGTAAGAGGCGACTAACGGAATCGGGTGGTCAGGCTGGCTGACTTGGTTGATGCATGTCATCGATCCTTATTGCGTGGATCGATGCTCATGAAATCAATCACTGGATTGTCTGGCCTAGGCTCGATTATTTACAGACCGCCGTCATATAGCTGTAATATTGCTGAGAGCGGCGTTAAACAACAAACAAACAAATAAAACAATAATGTATATTTCTAAAAACAATGTATTCTACAAGTATAACTTTACAGTAACTTGCAGTAAGTAAGACAGATGATGGTGATCTCCACCCAATATCCACATTGATCTACTGTGAGCTCCAGCAATTCCCTAACAAGCAGAATCTGAGTTGCTTTTTGTGAACAGTGAATTTTACTTGAGAAACCTATGAGGTCCGGTTTGTTTAAAACAATGTTTTACCTGCGACGACGAACACCAGAGTGAGCAAACAGTGGTTCGTCATGTCTGTGTAGCACGACCAGTCTTCTTACAACCGCCTCAAGTCTACAGCTCCCTGTCCGTGTGTGTCTCTGTTTAGCAGGACCAGTCTCCTTACAGCCACCTCAAGTCTAAAGCTCCCTGTCCTTGTGTGTCTCTGTGTAGCAGGACCAGTCTCCTTATAACCACCTCAAGTCTACAGCTCCCTGCCCTTGTGTGTCTCTGTGTAGCAGGACCGGTCTTCTTACAACCACCTCAAGTCTACAGCTCCCTGCCCTTGTGTGTCTCTGTGTAGCAGGACCAGTCTCCTTACAGCCACCTCAAGTCTAAAGCTCCCTGTCCGTGTGTGTCTCTGTGTAGCAGGACCAGTCTCCTTACAGCCACCTCAAGTCTACAGCTCCCTGCCCTTGTGTGTCACTGTGTAGCAGGACCAGTCTCCTTACAGCCACCTCAAGTCTAAAGCTCCCTGCCCTTCTGTTTCTGTGTAGCAGGACCAGTCTTCTTACAGCCACAAGTCTAAAGCTCCCTGTCCTTCTGTTTCTGTGTGTGAGAAGTTTGTCTCAGTGACTAGGCAACCGAATGTGTACCCGCAGCCGCAGGAGGTGATACCAAAGGGGTATATGGTCATGCCTGAGTTCCTGGGTTCCTGTCAGAGTAGAATAGGTCTTCAGCAAACCATGCTTGCCGTAAAAGGCGACTATGCTTGTCGTAAGAGGCGACTAACGGGATCGGGTGGTCAGGCTCGCTGACTTGGTTGATGCGTGGATCGATGCTCATGCTGTTAATAACTGGAATGTCTGGTCCAGATTCGATTATTTTACAGACCGCCGTCATATAGCTGGCATATTGCTGAGTGCGGCGTTAACATACATACATACATGCATACATACATACATACATACATACATACATACATACATACATACATACATACATACATACATACATACATACATACATACATACATATTTAAGAATTCACTTTCACTTTTTGTGAGTTCATTGGAGTATGAGTGAGCGAGTGAGTATGGATTTACGCCGCTTTTAGCAATATTCCAGTAATATCACGGCGGGGGACACCAGAAATGGGCTTCACACATTGTACCCATGTCGGGAACCGAACCCGGGTCTTCGGCGTGACGAGCGAACGCTTTAACCACTAGGCTACCCGACCGCCCCCATTTGAGTATGAACCTTCATAGAGTTGGTAGAGCTTGCAGTCTGTGGGGTAATTATAGCAGACAGATTTGTTTTCTTCTGGGGATTGTTTCAATATGTTTTTTCAATAATGGAGGCACACGGGTAAACACTAGTGTGCACGTTGTCAATTCTTAAGTATTCATACACCAGCATGTGCTGCCAATACAGTCCCGTCACTAACAGAATTGTGGCAGAACGCGATGATTCATCTTCAACGTAGTTTTAGTGCCGCAACGTCTCCTGATCTACCCCCACAGGGACACACTAATGTATTGTGTGAAAGGCTTCATGTATTGTGTAACAGCCCTAAAGTACTGTTCGTTGCGTTGGTCTTCACCGTTTGCTTCACAAACTGCAGCGTTTGTCACAGTCGTCCTGTCATACGTGGGTGGAGTTAATGGCCCTGTAATTTACAACACTCTCCAACAACAGAGGTGCTGCTTGACTGGTTGGCCGATGTGCTGATTCACAGGCGGAGAATGTCGCACAGAAACATGCTGACAAGGCCCCATTTAGTGTTCAAATCAAATGAAAACCATTATAATTTGGTGAGGTTAAATCGCCGTGTTTCTGCGTGTATCATTGGCCGTACAATGATAATTCTAAACCAGTATGATAAAAGTACCCCATCATTTAATACTTCCATTTTATGCGCTAGCATATTTCCTTACACCCGTATCTTAATACTATCATATTATTTCTTTTGAAACGTAACTTAGTACAATATTATTATTTCATAGATCGGTATTTATATACTATCATAATACTTCCTAAGATCGGAATCTTAATACCATTATATTATTTCCTGAGACCTGTATCTTGATATTATGATAATATTTCCTTAGACCCATTTCGTAAAAAAATATATATCATTTTATCATCCAAAACTGGCTCCCACAGGAGATATCGCTTAGGTGAGATGTAGTGATTTATTTTTCGCCTTTGAAGAGATCACCCGTTTAATAAACATACAGCTGTATAACACATTGTGTAGTACCAAAGCAAGTTTTTATGTACTGTGGGAACAAGTTTCGTTTCACGAACAAATATTGAAAACTCTCAACATCCCTGGGCTTATTCAACGACATGGCTTATGGAGTTGATAGATCACTGAAAGGAGCTCATGCACACTCGATGACCCCAGCAACCCTGTTGCTAGCTGACGTCACATGGCAATGTTTCGCCGGTGGATTTTGCAACAAAATTTCACAACAAATGTCATCGGGTATTGTGACGTGATTGTAAACTTTGTGGTGCAGTATCCATAAAGACGATAGTAGCCCCACGAAACTTGTACGTCTAGATTTATGGGAGTTATTGATAACTTTCTGGAAAGGAACCCTGAGTTTTTAGGTTGGGCCATTGCGCAGGTGTCTGCCTATATTCACACACGACATTGAAATTCTAAAAAAAGTTTTAAACGGCAAGTAAAAAATAAAATACTAAACTCGACCCCGTGTAGTACCAGTATAATGCAACCCGTTTCATAAAATTGGTATTGCACGGGAGCTCGTTTAGTATTCTATATTTATTACCCACGCTCGTCAGATACCAGATACTAAATCACGAGTTTCATAAAATTGGTATTACTCGTTTAGCATTCTATATATCTACATTGTAGATATCGCTGCAATGAAATTGCATCACAATGCTTTGCAGACCATTGTGACGTCATTGGTTACCATGACGTTACAATCAAATGACATCACTAATGGTTCTGCTACTGAAGACACTGCTTATTTCTGTCTACAAACTGAAAAAGTTGGAAACAAGGATGCTGGATGTTAAATAAAATCACATCCTAGCGTCTTTTGATATGAAATATATCAGCACCAGTTGATAAAGGTGCAAAACTCCGAGGCTTGTCTTTAGACCCGTATCTTATTAATATCATATTATTTCCCCAGACACGTATCTTAATACTATCATATTACTTCCTTAAACGTGTACCTTAATACTTTCATATTATTCCCTTAGACCTGTATCTTAATACTATCATATTACTTCCTTAAACTTGTACCTTAATACTTTCATATTATTCCCTTAGACCTGTATCTTAATACTATCATATTACTTCCTTTAACTTGTACCTTAATACTTTCATATTATTCCCTTAGACCTGTATCTTAATACTATCATATTACTTCCTTAAACTTGTACCTTAATACTTTCATATTATTTCCTTAGACCCGTATCTTAATATGAACATATTAGTGCCTTAGACCAGTATCTTAATATGATCATGTTAGTGCCTTAGACCAGTATCTTAATATGATCATATTAGTGCCTTAGACCCCTATGTTAATATGATCATATTAGTGCCTTAAACCCGTATCTTAATTTTATCATGTCAGTGCCTTAGACCCGTATCTTAATACTATGATATTATTTCCATAGACATGTTTCTTAATACTATCATATGTTTCCTTAGACCCGTTTCTTAATGGCATCATATTATTTCCACAGATCCGTGTCTTAAATTTAGGGTATTATTACGTTTGACCCATATCTTAAAACTAACATTTTATTTCCCTGTATCTGTATACTAATACCATTGTGGCATTTCCTTACACCGGAATCTTTACATTATCACATTATTTCCTTAAACGTGTATCTTAATGTCATATTTCTTTCCTACGACCCGTATCTTAATACTGTCCTATTATTTCCTCAGACCTGTATCTTCATGCTATCTTATTCCTTCCTACGACCCGTATCTTAATACATGCATTATCATATGATATCATTAGACCCGTATCTTAATACTGTCCTATTATTTCCTCAGACCTGTATCTTCATGCTATCTTATTCCTTCCTACGACCCGTATCTTAATACATGCATTATCATATGATATCATTAGACCCGTATCTTAATACTGTCCTATTATTTCCTCAGACCTGTATCTTCATGCTATCTTATTCCTTCCTACGACCCGTATCTTAATACATGCATTATCATATGATATCATTAGACCCGTATCTAAATACTGTCCTATTATTTCCTCAGACCTGTATCTTAATGATTTCTTATTGCTCCCTACGACCCGTATCTCAATACATGTATTATCATATTCAATCATTAGACCCGGAACTAAATACTGTCGTATCATATTCTTAGTCCAGTATTTTAATACGTGCATATGATATCATTAGACCCGTATCTAAATACTGTCGTATTATAATCTTAGTCCAGTATCTTAATACTAGCATATAATTTACTTAGACCGTATCTAAATACTGTCGTATCATATTCTTAGTCCAGTATCTTAATACGTGCATATGATATCATTAGACCCGTATCTAAATACTGTCGTATTATATTCTTAGTCCAGTATCTTAATACTAGCATATAATTTACTTAGACCGTATCTAAATACTGTCGTATTATATTCTTAGTCCAGTATCTTAATACTTGCATATGATATCATTAGACCCGTATCTAAATACTGTCGTATTATCTTCTTAGTCCAGTATCTTAATACTAATTTAATTTACTTAGACCGTATCTAAATACTGTCGTTATATATTCTTAGTCCAGTATCTTAATACTAGCATATTATATCATTAGACCCGTATTTTAATCCAGTCGTATTATTTCTTTAGACCCGTATCTTGTTACTGTCGTATATGTCTTTAGATCCGTATCTTAACATAATTTCCTTTGACGCGTACTTTAATACCTTAGTACCTTAACTAGTATGTCACCATCACATTCTTTTCTGAGACACATAAACTGTCTTACCACCCTTCCCGCCGGGCACCTGCAGCCTCGGGCATCACACATGGCCTTGTTCTGACAGTCCTCGTGTGTGCTGCGGAGGCACGGGTTGCCCAGTCAACTTCGCTGTGCAGAG